TGGGCTCTGGCAATCCTTCCACCTCAGCCTTCCAAGTAGCTGGAACTACAGGTGCATGCTGCCATGCCCAGCTAATTTTTTTTTATTGTAGAGACGAGGTCTTGCCAAGCTGCCCAGACTAGTCTTGAACCCACGGGCTCATGCAATCCACTGGCCTCTGTCTCCCAAAGTGGTGGGATGACAGGCTGAGTCACTGAGCATAGATTTCTTATAACCTAAGAATCCAGTTCACCTAGTACTATTACCTGCATTTGACAGACACCCAGGTTCCAGTTGCCTTTGTGTGGTGCGTGTGTGTGTGTGTTGAGGTCTTACTCTGTCGTCCAGACTGGAGTGCAGTAGCATAATCACAGCCAACTGCAGCCTCGACCTCTTGGGCTCAAGCAATCCTCCCTCCTCAGTCTTCCAAGTAACTGGGACTACAGGTGCATGCCACCATGCCTGGCTAATTATTTTTTGTAAAGACAAGGTCATACTATGTTGCTCAGGCTGGTCTTAAACTCCTGGGTTCAAGCAACCTTCTACCTCAGCCTCCCAAAGTGTTGGGATTACAGGCATGTACCACTGTACCTGGCCTCCATGTTGCCTTTTGACAGCCAACAACAATGGTAGTTGCGATTACTTAAGCTCTTATTCCAAACAGGGCCAGGAGTCCATTCTGTACTCTTTGAGGATACAATCCCCTTTGCAATGGGTTTTCCAATAATTTATCATCAGTTTTCCTACATCTGATCACTTTAACATTAAAGCATCATATGTAGTAGTCCAATAAGTGGTTTCAAGATATGCCAAAGAGGACAGTGATATATGCATAGTTTAGATATTTGTCCCTTCTACATCTCATGTTGAAATGTGATCTTCAATGTTGGAGGTGGGGACTGATAGGAGGTGTTTGGGTCATGGGGAAAGATCTCTCATGAATGGCTTGGTGCCATCCCCTTGGTGATGGGTGAGTTCTTGCTCTATTAGTTCACTCTTGCTCTATTAGTTCACATGAGAGCTAGCTGTGTCCTCCTCTGTCTCTCGCTCCTTCTCTCACCATATGACACACTTGCTCCCCCTTTGCCTTCCACCATGATTCCAAAAGCAGGTGCCAGTGCCATGCTTCTTGTACAGTCTACAGAACTAAGAGTCAAATAAACCTCTTTTCTTTATAAATTACCCAGCTTTCCTGTATAGCCATGTAAAATGGACTAATAAAGATAACTAGTCTTGCTCCAGGTCAGGTACATTTGATAATAAATCTATGTACTCTTTGATCTGTCCTATAACCAATTATTCCAGAACCTCTTTTTTTTTTTTTTTTTAATACAGTGGGCCACTTTCACTGATTTGAGTAAAATGGTACCCATTTCTGGAGGGTTCTGTGTTTTCAGTCTGCTGGGTTCAGGTGTAGTAGTCACTGGTGGGTCCTACTATAGGTGTGTGCCACCACTTCTAAATGAGCACTCCTACAACAACCCCCATCCTGGGCTCTCTAGTTGGATTTTACTTACCAACAGACAAGCTGTTAGGAACACAAGCAATAGTGGTTTGTCTCTGGAGCTCTACTCTTGAGGATAGGCAGGAACCTGAGGCACTAAGGGAGGAAAAAGAGTCACCCATAAATAGGTAATTCTTTCATACTCTGGATTCAGAAGAACCTAAGAAAATCCCATCACTAATCAAATAACTTTTAAGTCTATATGAAAGAATATCATGGATCACCAATGACAGAAGTCATTGAGTGGGTAGACGTCAGAGACATGTGGCGAGAGAAAGATGGCAAATGCTCCCAAGGCCAAGCATCTAGGGGTAAAAAAGTATAAGAACTGTAAGAGACAGGGTTGCAGCCCAAAGGATCCCCAAGCCTACCAGAAAAGCCATGAACTTCAAAAGTCAAAGACTGGGCCAGGTGCGGTGACTCAAGCCTGTAATCCCAGCACTTTGGGAGGCCGAGGTGAGTGGATTGCCTGAGCCCAGGGGTTCAAGAACAGCCTGTGCAACTTGGCAAGCCCTCATCTCCACAACAGAAAAATCAAACAATTACCTGAGTGTGGTGGCACGTGCCCATAGTTCTGGCTACTTGGAAGCTGGGGTGGAAGGACTGCCTGAGCCCAGCAGGTTGACAATGGGGTGGCTGTGAGCGTGCCACTGCACTCCAGCCTGGGCAGAATGAGACTCCAACTCAAAAAAAAAAAAAGGTCAAAAATTGAGGTTACGGCAGGGGGCAGTAGGACAAGCAAAGGACTTAAATCAACAAGTTTGAATTCTTGTCTTTGCCACCAATTTAATAACCTGAGACAAATCACTTAATTGCATCCATTTGTTTGCTTATCTGTGAAAGTGAAAAGCTAGATAACATATATAGCTTCTTCTAGTACCAATATTCTATGATTCTCTGATTCTAAAAACAGATGAGAAAACAGCAAAAGCCTCAAAGCAAGCCCTTCTAGTCCATCTTTGAGCCTGCACATTCATTTATTTGAAAAGTACTAACTGAGCAAGCACTGAGGTGAGAAGCTGTTGTAATGACAGGATGAGTCAGCAGGAGGAAAACTTCCTGTCAGATATCTTCCCACAGTTAGAAATGGAAGGATTTCTAGAAAATATTAAGAGAATTGTCTCTATGATAGGGGAGTCTGTTAGAAGATGCTAAGGACCCGTCCTAAGAGAAAGGTTTTAGGAACATCTCCTGGCTGGGATCAGTGGCTCAGCCTGTAATCCCAGGACTTTGGGAGGCCGAGGCAAGTGGATTGCTTGAGCCCATGGGTTCCAGACCAGCCCAGGCAACTTGGTGAGACCTTGTCTCTACAATTTAAAAAATTAAAAAATTAGCCGGGCATGATAGCCCATGCCTATAGTTCCAGCTACTTGGAAGGCTGAGGGGGAAGGACCGCCAGAGTCCAACAGGTCAACACTGGGGTGCCTGTGAGCATGCCACTGCTCTCCAGCCTTGGAGATGGAGTGCGACTCCAACACACACACATACAAAGAATATCTCCTAATGAAAAGAAGGCAGGGACTTGGTTTCCAGTCTAAATCATCCCAGTCCATTAGCACCTCTTGTCCGACACTAATCAAACTGCTTATTTTCAAGCTTTTTTTTTCCATCAGGTCAAATGAGCCAGTGATTATTTTTAAACTCACAGTCAACTCTTAACTCACAGTCACACTTATTCAGCAAAAGTGTGAACCACCATAACCTTCCTTGTAGAAGATTTTTCTTGACTTTCTCAAGGCACATCTTTTCTACATTCTCAAAGCATTTTACACATTTCTCTACTGTACCACTTGCCACTCTGACTACATTATGTCTTCCTCCACCAAACTTAAAAGTATGGCACGGTCTCTGGGGCTAGGACTTTGGGGTTTGAATTCCTGTTCAGTCATTTATTAGGTAAGTGATCTTCGGCAAGTTACTTAACCTTTCTGTGCTCCAATTTTTTCAACTATTAAGTGGAGATTAGATAAAACAGTAATTTCATAGGGTTGTGGGGACGAGTAAATGAGTTAATACATGGGAAGTATTTTGAAGAAAGCCAGCTGGTAAGCATTCAATAATTAATGCCTGCTGCTGGGCCAGTGGCTCACACCTGTAATCCCAGCACTTTGGGAGGCCAAGGCCGGCGGGTACTTGAGCCGGAGTTCAAGACCAGCCTGTGCAACATAGTGAAACCTAGTCTTTATTTAAAAAAAAAAAAAATGTTGAAAAAAATTAGCAGGTAGTGGTGGTGTGCGCCTGTAGCCGCAGCTATTCAAGATACTGAGGTGGAAGGATTGCCTGAATCCAAGAGGTAGAGGCTGCCATGAGCCATGATCGTCGTGATCATGCCACTGCATTCCACCCTGGAGGACGGCTCAAAATAAAATGCCTGCTATGAAAGTATATTTGAATCTACGTTTTCATACAGAACCTATTTTGCTGCTGTTAGAGAACAAATGAATGTGATAACATTATACATACTCTGTTCATACAATTTTGTAAATCGGCAAAGTAAGGAATAATATTAATACACTTCTGAAAATCATAAAACTGAAGCGCTCGGAAGCTTGCTGACTCGCTCAAGTACATACAAATGGAACCCGGGTCCCTGCCTCCCAGCCCTGGACCGCCTTCCCCCTCCCCTTTCACGGCAAGTTTGTCCCAGGCGTCGCTCCAAAGACTCCCCGGGAAGGAAGAGGCGAGGCAGTCGGCTGGCCTGGATCTGAGGGAGGCGCTGGAGTGGACGCGCCGCAGCAGCAACCGCTCACCAGGTGCTCTCCACGACGCTAGCCTCCTGAAGCTCGGGTCCCTGAGTGCCACAGGCAGCCAAAAACGTCCAGGACGTCTGCCGGCGTGACGTCACCAACCCGCGCCCCGGCCAATCACCACTACAGCCACTACCGTTTCCTCTCTAGGAAGGCGGGAGCGGCTTCATCTCGCTGATTCTTCAGGCCTAGAGCGGCAGGTTTCTGTGCTCCGCCCAGGAGTCCTGGCTCCGGAAACAGTCTGCAAACCGGCCTAACGTGACTCTTTCCCGTGCGAGGAAGCTGCACGGAAGTGAGGATGCGGGTCGCCCACAAGGAGCACTTACTATGTGTCAGTTCGTCCCGCAGCTCCGCCTTACTTATTCTCCTATGTCACTGTCCTTTGGTGTTTCTCAAGGCTATTGTACAGCTGGCTTCAACCTTCCTCTCACACATTCTCACCTGCAAAAAATTGACCTCCTTACAGGAACCCCAGACATTTACTGACTCAGGATCTTTGTTCAACAAGTGGCCTAAAGAGCAAGAGCTCAGCTTTGGGCTTAAATCCCAGATTCTCGATGGGGAAGTTACTGAACCTCTCTGTGCCCAATTCCTCCCTAACGGAGATAATAGTGGTACTAAATTGCATAGGATTGTTAGGATTAAATGAGGTTAATACGTGTAAATTACCAAGAAATCTGGCATTTAAAAAAATGTTCGGTAAACTTTAGAACTATTGTCTTTTCCTCAAATGCTGGCTCCAGTCCCTATTGTTCTACCTTGGCTTCAGTGACCTTTCCAATCCTCGAGGTAGCACTCTTGTCTCTCTCTACAAAACTTCAGATCTTGCTAGTCCTCATTCAGGAATTATTTGCACACACAAGCTCAGCTATCTTCCAAAGATTAAGGTAAGAGAGTACCTGATCCAGGGATTCCTACTGATATGTAAACTCCGGATAATGGGACCGTGTGCATACCATCCTATCCCTATGTGCAGCATACAGTATGTACATAGTAAACACCTGTTGCATAAATGAATGAATTGCAGGAGGGAAGTTGTTCAAATTTCCAGATGGGCTGTTTTCCCAAAATGGGGTCCCTTGAGGATACTGAATTCAGGAGTGGAGATGCCAGAGGTTGAGGCCATTACTCACTATCTTCAGGTAAAAAGGAATTTGTAATGTTGTCAGTTGACATGTCATGTAACAATGTTGAGTTCCCCTTACCAGTGAGAGGAGATAGAAGCTGGTTAGGCAGACAGAGAGGGAGGGTCTTGAGAAGACTTAACACCTGCAGGAATGCCCCCATGTACCACCCCCATTATATAATTGTTGGCTGAAAATGTGATTAGTATGGTTAAGAACATCCTGCCAACCCAGGATGTACTGCTAAAAGGGACTTTTTGCTGCTTAAATGCAGGTGCAGTAGCTTAACTAGATATCCTAGCTTGAACCGTACCTTATTATAACACCATTAACATAGCATTTGCATTGCGGTCTCTCCCCCCCCCCCCCCCCGTGGGCTTTTCTGTGGTACTTATGGGTAATATGCAAGATGGAGTAACTTTGGTCAAGGACCCCGCATGCGCAGTCAAGGTTGGGTCGCAGGAAGTAGGGGCGGATAAGGTGTAAATGACAGAAACACCTTCAGAAAAGATAAAACTCACACACACACACAAACCTTTTAACAGCGGGTAACTCACTCTGGGCCCCTCTCGTTTTCTAGAGAGCTTTGTTGCTTAATCAACTCCTTTCACTCATCCTTTTGGCGTCTGTGTTCCTTAATCTTCTTGGTCATGGGATCAAGAACCCGAGGCTGCCGGTTTAAGCTGGTGTTGCCGGTTCAAAACTCCTGCAACACCAGGTGTCACCGGTTCAAAACTCCTGCAACACCAGGTGTCACATTCTCAGCACTTCTTTGAAATCAGATAGATAATTCTTCCCCACTGCCCTAGCTTCCCACAGGCCAAAGAAGCTAGGACTAATTATTCTTTTTCCTACCTTTTAGGCTTCAAAGAATCTGTAAGCCAGCAGGCTCTACTGTGTGGAAATTAAGCCTGGAATGAGGTACGTTGGGTAAAGCAGGTTACTAGAAACAGTCATCAGGGGCTTAATAGTAGTTTGGGCTAAACTTCTTTTAATGAGGTGAAACACAGATGGTAGAGATAGACATCAAAAATAGTCCATAAAACTAAAATGATCTTAGCCCTAATGTGGCCAGTGAATGAAAGGATGTGAAACTGATGCCACCTAAGGTCAAGGTTAGATTTCTGTCTCATGAAGGAAGTAAAGAGGGGTAAAAATGCAAAATCAACTTCTCTCCCTCTCTTAAACCCAAAAAGAATGAGATTCTGTTATAAAGCTTTATAACAGCTTTATCAAGCTTATGTTATAAAGTGAGTGCCTTGTGTCCTCAGGGTGAGGAAAAGGTTGGAGCCCTATGTACTCAATTCTATAATAGGCAAAGTAAAAAGGGATATGGCACAGAGGTATGAGCAAAGAAAAAAGTGAGTAAAATACAAGGACACTGGAGTTTAAACTTCAACTGACACTGTTTGGGTGCCATTGGGCAACTCCAAACACCCATTTTCTTTAGTTGTTTTGAGGATCTGATGTGGCTCCAACCCACTGTGTCCTTCTGAAATCATGAATTAAATTACAGTGTACAGAGAATAAGCAATGCATTCCCATTCTTTATCATTTCACAGCCCAAGATGTCAGACAGTACTTCCGCTTTGGGAATTTTTTTTTTTTTTTCATTCTCTTTTTTGAGACATGGTCTCACTCTGATGCTCAAGCTGTAGTGCAGTGGGATGATCATAGCTCACTGCAGCCTTGAACTCCTGGGCACAAGCAGCAAGCAATTCTGCCTCAACCTCCCAAGTTGCGGGTACATGTGCATACCACCATCGCCAGCTAATGTTTACATTTTTCTTTTAGGAACAGTGGTCTATGTTGTCCAGACTGCTTTGAACTACAGGCCTCAATCAATTCTCCCACCTCAGCCTCCCGAGTAGGTGGGATTTCAGACATGAGTCATCACTCCCAGCCCACTATGAGATTTCTAAGCTCCAAGTTTTCTCCTGCCAGGCCAACATTACTTTTCTGTTCCTGTCTACCTTATTTCACGGATATTCAAGTTGACATAGGTGTCTGCACCTGCATGCATTTTCCTCTTTCTACTGGCTCTGACATCAATATAATTGAAAGCACTTTGTTAAACCGGGATTGGACTTTTTGTTGTAAAACATTTTTGGCTGTATTATATGTTGTTATGGGACCCTCTGTTTAATATAACCACATACTTTACACATGGGGCAAGTTTCAGGACTGTTGCTCTTGGCAAACACTTCAGACACATCCACCATGCCTCCTTTCTGCCAGTAACTGAGGACCTAAGTCACAACCTGCAGGCTGACATGCAGAAATGTCTCACTTGACATTATAGTTAAGTTCAGTTAATATTTATTGGCACTCATAAATACCAGGCACTGCAGATACAAAACAAATATCACATAGTTCTTTCCCGATAGAGCTGACAGTTCAGTGGAAAGAGAAGTCTATAAACCATTATAATGTAACATGATAAAATGATATAAGATACAAAAGATAGAAATAATGAAAATACATGAGGTTAGAGACAGCTTTAAGATGCTGCCTGAGCACATTCATGTGACAAAGCAGAGTTTTCCAGGCAAACAGAAGCAGGAAAGGGAACTAAGGCAATAGAATAGTATATACAAAATGTCAAAGTAGAATCACAGGAATTTGCAAGAAGGAACAGAATGTGCCAGGCAAGGAAGAGCAACTGAGGATGGCAATATTGGCATGGGCTAGATGAGGGGCTTCTCTTCAAAAGTCTAGGACTTTAGTAAGAGAGAACAATAAACGCTGATTATGCTTACAAAGATCCAGAAGAAATCTGAAAGATGGCCTAGTGAGACAAGAAACTGAAACAATGTTAGAAAAAATTTTTAAATAACCTAGGAAATAAATTGGGGGCTAGACTTCAGCAATAGCAGTGGAGATGGCTTCCAGACTTAGGAAATAATATCAGAATGATAACAGTGATTGGATAGAAATGAAGACTGAATAAGAAGGAAGACAGGGAGATTCCTAGGTCTGGAGCCACACTGAAGTAACTAGGCACATCACAGGCCAGCAAATGAGAAAATCAGAATTAAACAATTACTTATAGGTGTGAAAGTGTGATAATATGGGTATTGAAAAGATGAGTTCCTTTCATTTTTGTTTCCCCAGAAAGTGAAAACGTGCCAGACTCTCGGTCTGAGAAATAAAAATTCAGGGTTGTGTCCATTCCATCTAAAAAAAAATCTTTCTCACAATAACTTAGAGATACTGTCCACACTTAAGGTTTTCCATTTCTCAAGATACCTCTTCCTATTCTCTCCACTCATGATTCTAAAAATAATACTATATAAATATTACTACAAATACTTATCAGGTAATTCTTAAAAAGGTTCTGATAGGCAATGGTTGGTTAAAACATATTACTTCATGAAATATTTAATATTTATTGAACATTTTCTATATACCAGCAATTAGTTCTGTAGTTTTACTTTTTACTTAGGGAATATATTCATTGACATTTGCTTTTGATAGTATGTATTTTCATGTACATATTTAGAAAGCTTTCAGAATTATTTTTGCCCATAAGGTATTATTCACCTGTGAATTCTCCTATGGTAGGTTTTTGTGGTTGTTGTTTTCTGAGTTGGAATCTCACTCTGTTGCCCAGTCTGGAGTGCAGTGGCATGCTCACGGCCACTGCAGCCTCGACCTGCTGGGCTCAGGTGATCCTTCCACCTCAGCCTTCCAAGTAGTTGAAACTACAAGCACGCACCACCATAGCCAGCTAAATTTTTTATTTATTTATATAGAGATGAGGTCTCACCAAGTTGCCCAGGTTGAACTCGAACCCGTGGGCTCAGGCAATCCTCTCCACTTGGCCTCCCAAAGTGCTGGGATTATAGGCGCGAGCCACTATGCTCGGCCCCATGATAGTTTTTAAGAACATAATCTTTGGGCAACCCCCTCAGGTCCCCTCCCACTGTGGGAGCTTTTCTTTTCTCTCAATAAATCCTGCACACACAAAAAAAATCTTCATAGCTAGGGAGAGGGAAAAGAATATGTGATATTTATGCCACATTCCCATTAATGGTAATACATAACCCAAACCATTGCTTACAAGACAGCTGCTCTTAAAAAATCAATAATGAGTTCCAAATAATTAAGCAATTCAGAATCCACTTAATTTAGCTGTTTTTAATAGCCGTATATTAAAAACATATAAACTTCAGGGTTTAAGGTTTTTTTTTTGGAGATGGGGTTGGAATCTCACTCCGTCTCCCAGGCTGGAGTGCAGTGGCATGCTCGTGGCCACCCCAGTGTCAAACTGCTGGGCTCTGGCGATCCTTCTGCCACTGCCTTCCAAGTAGCTGGAACTACAGGCATGCACTACCATGTCCAGCTAATTTTTTGATTTATTGTAGAGATGAGGTCTCATCATGTTGCCCAGGCTGGTCTTGAACCCACAGGCTCAGACAATCCTCTCGCCTTAGCCTCCCAAAGTGCTGGGATTATAGGAAGAACTATTTCAAATACCAAAGACTATCCTCATTCTTCTGAGGCTCATTTTCTTGGTAGTAGTTAAAAACATGAAAGTAACTGGGAAAATCATAGAAAATCATGCCCTTTCGAAAATATCATCACAGTCAGTGGCAAACTGTGCTACCCTGATTTTCAGGGATTTGAAAAACAATCTCTTTAGAACTATTTCCCAAGTCATTCCATGACAAATGTCAACACTCTCTTAAGGACTAGTCCAACAGCCCCAAAGTCCAGATAACCTAGAAGCCCATCTTCCCTCAACACTAATTTTCTGAAATACTAACAAACTAAATCTCATTTTGCTAGAATACTGTTAGTCTCTCTCTCCCCAGGTCTGTGAACCAGTGGCCCAGCTAAACTTACAAGAAATAGGTGTACCCCTTAGTCTAGGCAAGGTTATGTAGATAGCTTGCTCAGCTACATGCAGGATTCCTGCCCTGAACCTCTTATCCTAACACAGACTGTTTCTTGCCTGGGTAAACCAGTATTCTTCTGGAATGGAGATGGGGTCTTCCTGTCTCTGGCTCTGAGTAAATATGACTGTCTTCCCACAGACTGGCATCATGAAATCTCCCTCGACCAACTATTTCCTACTTAGCTCCAAGTCACCCCAAATCTTGAAAGATCAGGAAAGATTTTTATTCTGATAAAAGTGTTTTTCACCAACACATCCGTAGAGGTAAGCTCAGTTCTTGCCACATATCCTTTGTGAATGAATGACTATGGTTTCCTTTTTACTTGTTTCTGTCCTCCCTCCACAGGCTCACTCCCAAAGGTCAGAGAGCCTCCCCTATGGTAGCATGGTCAAAGCTGCCACAAATATCTGGAGGCTTCTTAAACTTAGCACTACATCAGAACTGTTACAGGAAGTGTTTGGAAAAACGCTTCAAACACTGGGCAGTAAACATGGGTAACAAGGTCAGAAGGTAAGACAGAGTTATAGTAAAGGAAGCACAAATGCTAACTTAACAAATGTCTTCTCAAGATGTAACATTCACATGGGGCAAGAAGAGTGGCAACCTACAGGCTTTATCTGAAAAGCAGGATTTTCTTTCTACCCTGTATTCCCATACGCCCTCCTGGAGTATGCGCTGCATTCTCCAGGCTCCCACCTCCATTTGTGGTAACATCTTCTCAGAATGCAACAGCCAATGTTCCTTCAGCCTACCCTCTAGAAATTTTACCTGCCCCACCCTCCCAGCCAGATTCCTAGTCACTGTATCTAGAGAAACTGTCATAACCTAAACATGAGTATTATTCACCACTGTGAAGTTTCTGATGTCTGAAAAGAACTGAACTATGTCTGAAGAACTTTCCACATTCAATGCATTCATAAGGCTTCTCACCAGTGTGAATTCTATAATGTTCACTAAGGTGTGCATACTTGCGGAAGGTTTTCTCACACTCACTACACTTATAGAGCTTCTCACCAGTGTGAGTTCTATGATGTTCGGTAAGAGATGAGCTGTGAGCAAAGGCTTTCCCACATTCTTTACATTTATAGGGTTTTTCTCCAGTATGAATTCTCATATGCTGAGTGAGGCAGGTGTTCTGATTAAAGCCCTTTCCACATTCACTGCATTTATAGGGTTTTTCCCCAGTGTGACTTCTCTGATGCCGAATAAGGCAAATGCTCTGAATGAAGGCTTTACCACATTCACTGCATTTGTAGGGTCTCTCCCCTGTATGGATTCTCTGATGTTTAGTGAGAGGTGTGCTCTGAGTAAAAGCTTTGCCACATTCCTTACACTTATAGGGTTTTTCTCCAGTATGGATTCGCTGGTGTTTAATAAGAGATGGGCTCTGACAAAAGGCTTTGCCGCAGTCCTTACATTTATAGGGTTTCTCTCCAGTATGAATTCTCTGGTGCTGAGAGAGGTTTGCCTTTGTTTGAAAGGTTTTCCCACATTCATCACACTTATGGGGTTTTTCTCCAGTGTGAATTCTCTGATGTTGTGTAAGATTTGAGTGTTTGCGAAACGAAGAGCCACATTCAGTGCATAAATAAGGCTTCTCACCAGTGTGAATTCTCTGATGATGAATAAGGTGTGTATTCTGATTGAATGCCTTTCCACATCTATTACATTTATAAGGTTTCTCTCCAGTGTGAATTCTCTGATGTTCAGTGAGATGTGAGTGATTGCGGAAGGAATTCCCACATTCATTACATTTATAAGGTTTCTCTCCAGTGTGGATTCGCTGATGCTGAGTAAGAAATGATCGACATCGAAATGTTTTTCCACACTGCTCGCATTCATATGGTTTCACCCCAGTGTGAATTCTTTGATGTTGAACAAGAAATGAGCTACGACTAAAAGCTTTCCCACATTCCTCACATGCATAGGGTCTCTCTCCAGTATGAGTTCTCTGATGTTGGGTAAGGGATGAGCTCTGAGTAAAGGCTTTTCCACATTCATTACATTTCCAAGATTTTTTCTGTGTGGGCAGAGTCGGACAATTAGTTTGGTTCGAAATCTCATTGGTATGTATATTACCTGTTTCCCACTGATGCAGACTGTCTTCTGCAGAAACCCTGAGATGTGTAACAAGGCTTGAGGTCAAAATCAAGCTTTTCTTACAATTATATTGCTGACTAATCATTTCAGCAGGTGCTTCCTTGTGGATCAAAGTCATTCCCCCAAAACCTCCTTCCTGGAAAAGGCATGGCTCAGGAACCTCTCTGGGAGAATTTCCCTTCATGCCCTCACATGCATATTTTTCTTCAAATGTAGAATCCTGGTATTCATCCTCTTGGAATCGCTTTGCTACTATTCCTGTTGATTCAGTTTCATAGACATCCTGCTCTGGAGTAGGCTCATTTGCCCAACCTAAAAGAAAAGAGCAGAGTGACTATCTCTTTTGCATGGCAGAGTAAAAGCCCCTGAAGCTATAGGGTCTTAACTCTGGCAGGTCTCACTAATGTCTTAAGAGTTAAGGGCCAATAAAGGAAAGCACGGCAAATAATTCAGAGCTGCAAGTGGTGAAAGAGATCTGCATCAAAGTAATGTGATGATTATTAATGAGGAACTCCCATGGAAAGGGCAGTTACAGTCACCTAAGCAGTGAGAGGATTACAGACAATGAAGGAAAGTGAAAAACAACATACAAGCTAAGATTAGGGCAAGAAAGGAAACATGAATATTTTGTATTCAAGAAGTGGAAAGTAGGAAAATATAAAAGTTAAATGCTGGAAATGAGAAAGATAAAATGAGAACTGGGGAAAAGTTGCCTCACCCACACCTGCCCCAAACATCCCTGCAAGATACAGTAATTTAATCTCCTGAGCTTCACTCATCTTCTCTTCTAATACTTCCAAAGTCTTCCTACTGCCTGGCTACTTCTCCCATTGGTTGTCCCTTGCTCACTCACCTGGACAAGTCTCTCCTGTAATCTCTTTCTCTTCAGTTCCTTGCATATTCAACATCCACAAATCGTCTCTCTGCTTTGATTGGAAAACACTTCAGGTTTGGAAAACTGGAAGGGAAAAAAAAAAAAAAAAAAAGTGGGGGAGAGGATATCATGGTTTCAGTAAACAGAAAACAAGAAAGAGCTGTTGCTTAAAGGCAATATCTAGTAATTCACACAATACCTCTCAGGACAGTAATGCAGATGCACCAGCAAAAATCAGCACTGGCTTGCAGCTTCCTAGGTTCACAAAATCCCATTTGTTAGCTGTCCAAGAAGTAACAGAATCAGACAGACTGACAGACTACAGAACACTCAAGCACTTGATAAATCATACTATTATTTATCACTTTATAATGATAAATATAAGGAGTAAATAGCTAGGAATATTCAAGTCAACAAGTGCACTGTCTACCATACAACAATCAATATGAAAGGTCAGCTAATATAATCAAATGCTGCATGGCATGAGAAAATGTCCTCACAGCAAGGCTAATGCATTAAGTGTTACTCACCCATTTCTATCACATGTCGAGGAGCTAAGATAGTGGTTAGGGAATGCCCTCTAGAGACACGCTGATTGTCCTTTCTTGTAGATATCATATCAAGTAAACAATTTTTTTCAGAGACAGTTCAATATAAGAGCACAGGTTTCAGTTTTAAAAAATCTAATTGTGAAATAATTTTTGACATACAAAAATTGCAAAAATAGTAGACAAAGTTTCTGCAAATTCTGCTGTTTGAAATGTCAAAATCATAACTGTTCACCTAAAAATATCTTCTATACAACCCTGAAGTAAGCAGAAATGACAGCATTATTTCAAGGAAAAAAAGGAAGACACAGAGATGGTTTTACCAGTGCCACGGGCTCCAATGGCATGAAAGAACAGAATGAGTCTGCTGAAGTACATAAGGTTGTTCCTGTGTGCTTCTCATGCAGGTCTGTGCCTCCATATTGGATTGTGAAGGTTTAAGAAGATCCTATCTGGGTTCTCCTGATCCTCTTTCATAGGAGGGGCATAAAGGGGACCTGTCAGCCATCATGAATCCTACAGAGACTCATGCAGCAGAGTGGGATTTGGGTGAAATCAGTGCTAGATGATGGAAAAAAAAAAAAAGTCAAGACAATACCCCTGCCTGCCAGTAGCTTATATCATAGCTGGAAAAAGACATTAAACCAATAATTTCAAATACGGGAGTTACCAAATTGAAAGCACAAGGAGCTATGGAATGTAGGGCAGAGGGGACATAATCTAGTCTGGGAAATCAGGCCTCTCAACAGGTAAAAAGGTAAAAGTATATACCAAAACAGAACATACAAAACAAATGAAGCTCAGTACCTTGGGAGAATGAAGGAGACCCAGTAAAGTCAAGATATTAAGCCCCAGAAATGAGACAGAAAGCCTGAGGCAAGCAAAGACCAAATCAAACTGCAAACCATTTTAAGGACTTTACCCTGAAGTGAGCAGAAAGCCATAACAGGGATAATATATATATCCCATTTCCCAGAGTGCAGAGAAAGAATGTGTGCAGGGCTAGGGGTGCAAGGGGAAGGCTAGACAATCCCTTGTGAGGATGTTTCTATAATTCAGTAAGGGAACTGGACTAAGAGACAGAATCCAGAGTTGGATGAATATTGCTGGCCAGGATGAGAGATGGAGAAGTCAAGAATGATCGGCCAGTTTTTGACTAGAAAAATGACAGCGACCTCTAGTGAGAGTAGGAACACTTGTCTGGGGAGGAGGATTCCTATAGTTTTGAAATGTCCAAACAGAAAGTAGTACATAGATATCTGGAATACAGGAGAGAGGAGTGGTCTAAAGAGTTTTAAATATAGAAAGAGTTAACTGGCCGGGCATGGTGGCTCAAGCCTACAATCTTAGCACTTTGGGAGGCACTGGATTGCCTGAGCTCAGGGGTTCGAAATTAGCCTGGGCAACTTGATGAAACCTCATCTAAACAGTAAATCTAAAAATTAGCCAAACATGGTAGCGTGTGCCTGTAGTTCCAGCTACTTGGAAGGCTGAGGCAGAAGGATTGCCTGAGCCCAGCAGGTCGAGGCTGTGGTGGCTGTAAGCATGCCACTGCATTCCAGCCTGGGCGACAGAGTAAGACTCCAACTCTAAAAAAAAAAAACAACAAAAAACCTCAATGAGTCTATACATGTAAAAGATCTCAAATCCCCTAAAAGATATAAATAAAAATAATTTAATATATGAAAAAAGTAGCATTTCAAATCATAAAATAATAGATTACTCATAAACTATGTTGGGACTCTCTAACTTCTTGAAAAATAACTTGCTGAAAAATACACTTAATGAGATTCCTACAATATACTACATATCAGAATAAACAAAAACTGATTAAAGGTTAATATATTTTTGAAAAAAGAAATCATAGGCCAGGCATGGTGGCTCATCCTGTAATCCCAGCACTTTGGGAGGCCAAGGTGAGAAGACTGCCTGAGTCCGGTGGTTCAAGACCAGCCTGGACAACTTGGTGAGAACTCACCTCTACAATAAATCTAAAAAAACTAGCTGGGCATGGCAGTGTGCATCTGTAATTCCAGCTACTTGGAAAGCTGAGGCAGAAGGATGGCCTGAGCCCAGCAGGTCGAGGCTTTGGTGGCCATGAGCGTGCCAATGCACTCTAGCCTAGGTGACAAGAGTGAGACTCCAATTCAAAAAAAAGAAACCATAAAATAATAAAATATGGACAAAGGATTGAATTTAGGGTTAGGATAGCTCTTTCTAAGCATGATACAAAATAGCAGAAAAATTGATAATTTTAATCCACACAACAAAAAATGGACAAATCTGGCCACAGGAAAACAATATTCTATCCAAAATACAAATAAAGTTAAAAGACAAACAAGCTTAAAAACTTTTTGATTTATATATCAAGGAATACATAAGCCTATATACGAAGATTTCTTACAAATGAGTAAGGACAAAAGATGAACTAAGAGAAAAATGAAAAATACAATAAATACACCAAGAATTACAAAAGGCCAATAAACATATCAAAACAAAGTTCCATGTCTTTGGTATCCAAGGAAATGGAAACTGAAAGACGGATGAATCAATTTTTATATCAAGTTGGAAAACCTATTTTCAATGTCACACTTAAGACCGGCAAAGGTACAGGGAAAGAGCACTTCTCATACACACTGGTGGGAATTGAACTGGTCCCATCTTTCAGGAAGTAATTTGGCAACATACATCAGTTCTAAAAGCTGTAACTTCAGTTGTTGCTGGGATATTGGTACAGGAACTCATATTATACATTTTGTATTATAACACCTGCAGTGTATCTCAGAAGCTCCTTAAAGTCATCAATACGTCATAAAAATGCCTGGGTTCTTTGACCTAGTAATTCCACTATTAGAACTTTCTCATAAAATAACTGCTCAGCAAGGAAAAAAAGTACTCTTCTGTTATCTGGAAAAAAAAAAAAATCCCCTACAGTGTTGTGGCAATAACAATTTTTCTATTGGTAGACACTGAGGCTTAGTAAATTATGGTACTTCTACTTGATGGAAATTATACAGATGAAAGATAATTAAAAATAAAAATATGTGATTATTTGGGCATTTATGCCATATGTAAGTGGAAAAAAAAAGGCCATCAAAATTTCAAGTGCAACATAACACCATATGCTTGTTAAAATATGCATGTGAATAAGATCAAGAAAAAAATAATCATCATTGTAATGATACAATTAACTATTAATGATTTTCCCAAACTTCCTCTATTATCTATATTTTGGTTTACTTTTTAGGAAGGTAGGCCAGGCTCAGTGGCTCGCCTGTAATCCCAGCACTTTGGGAGGCTGAGGCGAGTGGATTGCTTGAGCTCACAGGTTTGAGACCCATCCAGGGAACTTGGTGAGACCTCGTCTCCACAATAAATCAAAAATTAGCCGGGCGTGGTAGCACGCGCCTCTAGTTCCGGCTACTTGGAAGACTGAGGTGGAAGGATCGCTGGAGCCCAGCAGGTTGAGGCTGGAGTGGCCGGGAGTGTGCCACTGCACTCCAGTCTGGGTGACAGAGTGAGACTCCAACTCAAAAAACAAAAAACAAATAAAAAACTAATCTAAGTCTATAAGAGTATATATCAAATTATTAACCATGATCATCTGACCTTTTTGTAATGTTTGAAAGTTTTCCCATAGGAATAAATAACTTCTGTAATCAGAAAAAAGTAAAAAAAAAAAAAAAAAATCAAAGATGGCACAAAGATTTATGTATAAAGATCACATTACTGCTAAGATTAAAAAATAGGCAAACAAACATTGATGGAACGTCAATATAATAGGTTGACTACTAAAAATCACATTTCCAAATGTGAGAAAATACAGTATGTTAAAAAGAAGGATACAAAACACTAAAACAAAAAAATATACACACAGGCTGGGCATGATAGCTCACGTCTATAATCCTAGCACTTTGGGAGGCCGAGATGAGAGGACTGCCTGTTCGAGACCAGCCTGGACAACTTGACAAGACCTTGTCTCTACAATAAATCAAAAAATTAGCAGGGCTTGGTGGCGCATGCCTGTAGTTTCAGTTACTTAGAAGGCTGAGGTGGAAGGATAGCCTGAGTCCAGCAGGCTGAGGCTGCAGTGGCTGTCAGGGTGCCACTGCACTCCAGCCTAGGTGACAGAGTGAGACTCTAACTCAAAGAAAAAAAAATACACACATATACTAGCACCAAATAATCATTCAATGGAAATTATTGTTGTTGTTGTTGTTGTTATTATGAGTCAGAGTGTCACTCTGTTGCCTGGGCTAGAGCACAGTGGCACAATCACCACTCACCAAAGCCTTGATCTCCTGGGCTCAGGCAATCCTTCTACCTCAGCCTCCTGAGTAGCTGAGGCTACAGACACAAGTCACCTTGCCTGGCTAATTTTTTGTTTTTTTATTTTTTTGAGGAGACAAGGTCTTGCTATGTGACCGAGGTTGGGCTTAAACTCCTGGTCTCAAGTGATCCTCCTACCTTGACCTCTGAAAGTGCTGGAATTACAGGCATGAGCCACCATGTCTGGCCAGAAACTATTATGAATACACAGATAAAACAAAACAAACACATAAAAAAAGGACATAAAGAAAACCCACCCAAATGTTAACACGCTTATCTCAAGGTCAGTTAATGGGTCATTTCACTTTGTTCTTTATACTCTTCTATATATTTCACTTTTTCTTCAATAGACATATGTTACTTTCACAGTAGAAAAAGTAGTTACTTTTAAGAATCTACAAACAAAAACCAAAAAATGACAGATCTAATAGATACATTCAGAATAAGATGAAAGTGGACTGGACTGGGAGTCAGGAAATTGCTATGCCCATGTGAGTGAGCCTACACAATAGGTTATCTGAAAAGGATGACAAAACAAATAATATCCATGAGTCCTTCCAGCTCTAGCACTCTTTGAATCTTTGACAAGTTAATTCAAGTAAAGCACTCATAAAGACGATAGGTACTCAACAGGGTTCAGACACTATTATGTTTGACACTAAAACCTACAGAGAAGAAAAAAGCATTTTGGTGATGATTGCTCTCCTCCAATCATGGATTGTGTGAGCTGGCAGCAGTTTGTCTATGTAAAGGCTCTGCAAACTTTCTGCAATGGGCCAGAAAATAAATATTTTAGGCCTCATAGGCTAAATGGCTATATGGTCTCTCTATGTCTGTTGGACCTATTCAACTTTACCTTGGTAGTTTCAAAGCAGAAATAGACAATATGTACAGGAAAGAGCCTGACTGTGTTTTAATAAAACAATATCACAAAAAAGGTGGTAGACCAAATTTCGCCCGTAGTTTGCTGACCCCTAGGCCAGAAAGCAATGAACAGGTGTTTCTACAAATGGCTACCGTGGAATAATCTGATTGGTAGTGATTTTAAGATGTTAGAAGGATCTCTCTGTAGATCTAGGGGGAGATGTGTATTATTATTAAAAAAAAAAAAAAAAAAAGAGGTTCCTCATAGCCTCATCATGCTATCAGAGAGCTGGCTTCCTACTCATTCCTTGTAAGCTTTTTCCCTGCTGCTACCTCATTACTCCTCAATAATTCCGTAAAAGAGTATAGGCCAGCTAGGTAAGGGGTTTCAAAAATTTGAAACCACAATTCCTTCAACAAGACCACATGGAAATGTACTCCTCTCTAAACCCTTCTCGGTTTGCCTGTTAGCACTAAATGACACACACACCCAGGCTATAGCAGCACATTATATGTATCTCTTCTGTAGCTTTGGGTCACTCAGTAACACTATGCCCTTGGACAAGTTATCTGTTCTTTCTGTATCTCAATTTCTTCACTTTTAAACTACCAAAAATTCGCTGTTGAGAAGATTAAATAGCACAAATGCTTCAAACACAGTAGCATATGACAAGTGCTAAATAGATATAATTTTAAATATTATTTCCAAAATTTGCTTGTATACATATTTTCCATCATTAGAATAAAAGCGTTTTCACATTTGGCAGGCTCCAATGTCACTCATTCTGTAGCCTTGGCCCTGAATTCTGGTAATGTTTGGCACGTAATGGACAGTCACATTTTGTTGGAAGACATTAACGTTGGTAAACAGAGTATCACATCTAAGCTGTCACCTGAGCCTCGTGAAGAAAGCAAGACACAGACTACTAGATAGTCCAACTTCAAGAAACAGCCACTGTACTCTCCAGAATTATAATCCAGGTCTCGGGACTCCCCAACTAGTGCACTTTGCATTCTTTGCCATTTCCTATTAAGAGAGTCCCTAAATGAGGTTGACAGCTACCTGATCGGCTGGGGGAAGTAGCTAGTGTCGAGAGAGACTTCTAAGTCCCGGGATTTCGTTTCCGCACACAGTTCTTATTTCTTGATAAACCATTCACCACTCTCTTACTCGCTCATTCATTCATTCATTCTGTCATTTTCGGAAACGCTTCCTCTATGCCTGGAGCCTTCCTGGACCTTGGGGTCTGCAGTGATGAGGCAGCAGGCGCGACACGGCTGGTCCACCCGGAGTGTCCTGGGTTCCGGGCGGCACGCGCGGGCAGCAACTCGGGGTGAGGGGTGGGGTGATCGAAACCGGGACGACTTCTCAGATAAGCCCCCGGTCCGCCGCCCCAGCCCAGGCGCTCTGGGAATCCTTCCTTTTCCCTTCGTGGGGCCCAGCTCACCGTGAGACCCGGAGGCTCCAGTCGCAGCGGCGCCTACGGTCCCGAAGGTTCGCGAAAGCCCTGGACGCAGGAAGAAAGCCTCTGGCGCCGGAAGTGCGGAGGCGCGGGCGGTAATGCGTCACAGCGGTCTAGCGCGGCGGCCACTGACTCTCTAGGAGGCGGAGGAGGATCTCTATGGAGCTCCAAAAGAAGGCGATCCCTCCAAGCCCAGCCTCTAAGCCCTGTCTTGTTTCTCTCCAAGCCTAGCTTTGTTTCCCTCCAAGCCTTGCCGCATTAAAGACTACCTTGGCCCAGAACACAGTGGCTACCTTATCCTTTAGGAAAACTGTAGAGGAGGGTTTTAGGTGTGGAGAGGGTGCTTGGTAGGAGTCGGAATGGGCCCTCTCAGCCAGAAACTATTACACTCCATCTGTTTAAAATGGCCCCATTCAGTACCTTGAATGATCCCCTGTTATGTTAGAATAAAGGACAAACTCCCAATCTAGGCCCACAAAAACTGACCTCAACAGTAACATCTCTTATTTTGCAATCGTATACATTCCGCTATAACATTACTCAATTCCCATTGGCTCCCTGAAATCCCTTGACTGTTTCTGACTCTAGATCTTTTGTCCAGATTTGCCTTCTGGGATAGTCTCTCTAGCTACTCTCCCCAACCTTAGCCATCCAATTTATACTGGTTCTTCAAAACCCAGTGCCAGTTCTTACTTGACCTCTTGACTATTGCCTTCATGGGTCTTTATTTACACTTTCTTACTAATCCTTATGAGTAATTCTAGCTCTAGCTGATCTATTCAGTGGCCCTCTAAATATACAAATGTGTCTACTTTCATGAATACATTATCAGGAAGATATGCCCAGCTAACATCCTACCCAAGGACAAGTGTGGATTACCCAGTTCATCACTATACAATTCTACTCAGCTATATGGAGCTATCACTTAAGCATTATACCTCACTGTTTAGCACAGTATTGGACACAGAAGATATTCAATAAATGCTTACTGAATTCATTAATTAGATACAAAAGTAAAGTTCAAAATTATTTGCATTTTTGATCAACTGAAAAATACACCATAGGTTAAGTCCAGAAGCCAAACTATCCATACCACTTAACTTGCATGTTCCCATCTCCTCAGCTCACTCTATCCAACTACTGTCTCCATCTGTATTATGTAAGCTGTATGAGATCAGGGGTCTTATCTGTATTGTTCATACTGTTTCTCCAGCACCTAGAGCACTGGCTGACATGTAATAGACATTCAATAGATATTTGGTGAATGACTAAGACTACAGAATCAAAATTATTTCTTGAGCTGAGGATCTTCACTCTCATTACTGATATTGATCCAACTAGAGTCTGATTTCTAAATATAAATAGAGCACTAAAAATCAAAGTTTGAGGAACACCAACAGTATGAGAGATGTTCAAATTCAACATTCCCAGGATCATGGGAGATATAATCATTGAATAGTTTATGTTTCAACAAGCCACCAGAAGTAGTTACTTCACACAGATATATATTGCTTATATATGAGAGCTAAACCTGCTAGAAAATCATCTTTCTTCCCTCAGATTACCTAAAGTACATACTCCATAGATGAACGTTGCTTCCCTGTGTGAAATAGAAACTCAGCCGGGTTTGGTGGCTCAGCCTGTAATCCTGTGCCTTTGGGAGGCTGAGGTGAGTGAATTGCCTGAGCCCACGGGTTCGAGACCC